AATAGAGGGAAACTTCTTCAGTTTGAAAAGGTTATCTACAAAAAACCTACAGCTAACATAGAGGTGAAAAACTCTGAGATTGGGAACAAGGCAAGGATGTTCGCTTTCACCACTGCTGTTCAACATAACACTAGTTTTAGCCAGTGCAATAAAGAAAGAAAAAAAGGAATACAGATCAGAAATGAATAAAACTGATCTTATATGCAAATGGCATGATGTTTGTAGAAAATCCATTTTAAAACTCAGCACTAATAAGTGAGTTCAACAGGGTTGCAGTATACCAGATCAACATAAAGATCTAATCATATTTTTGTACATTAGTAATGAGTATGTAGAAACTGAATTTTAAAATCTCCAATTATTTAAAAAATACTAGTTTTGTGAAAATTTCAAAACACTGATGGAAGAGATCAGTGCACCCTGGTAACAGGTTTCTCCATAAATAAATGGAGAAACATTGTCTTCCAGTCTATGGATATAACATAATGAAGATGTTCTCTTCAAATCTCTTTGTATATAATTAACACAATTTCTATTAAAATTCTAGCAAGACTTTTTTCATAGATATATACAAGATTATTCTAAAATATATTTGAAAAGTCCAACTTAAGAATAGATAAAACAATTCTCATAATGAATAATAAAGGGAGGGAATCATTTCACCTGATTTCAAAACTTACTATATAGCTCCATTAATCATAATTGTTAATGTCAGAGGGAGAGACACATAGATCAGTAGAGAATAAAGGACTCAGGAATAGCCCTATACAAGTATAGCTAAGTGATTTTTGACAAAAGTGCAAAAGCAGTTCAGTGTAGGATGGATACTTTAAAATGTTCCTGAAGCAGCTGGAGTACCCATAGGTTTAAAAAAAAAAAAAGATTAAAATAGATCATAGATTTAAACAAAACATTAAAGCACACAATTGTTAGAAGGTAACAGGTTTTATTTTCAAGTTCTAGGGCATGGTGAAATGTTCTTAGTCATAACACCAAAAGCATGATTCATAAAATTTTGATGGAGTATCTTGTGAAAATGAAAATTTTTTGCTTTGATAAAAACCCTGTTAAAAGATGAGCTCCAGACGGGAAGAAAATGTATAAACCGTATTCAACCAATGACTCAGAACATAAAAAGAGTTCTCAAAACTCAGCATTCAATCAGTCCAATTATAAAATGGGCAAAAGATATGAACAGACATTTCACTGAACAGTACGTATGAATGGCAAATAAACGCAGGAAAAAATGTTTAATTACCCTAGCCTTTACGGAAATGCAAATGAAAACTATGATGAGATACCACCACATATCCTTTAGAGCATCTTGAACAGTACCCATTAATATCAAATACTGTCTGGAATGTGGGGGGAAAGAAAATGGACATCTCCATATATTGTTGTTGTGAATATTAAATGGTAAACTCATTTTAGAAAAGAGTTTGGCTGTTTCTCAAAAATCTACACATAACTTTTTAATAGCTTTATTTTTAAAGGCCATTAAGTTATATTTATTGTTTTGATGGAAGAATGTACCATGTGAAAACAGTACAATAGAAAATTGCTTTTTATCTCTGTAAATCAGTAGTAAGTTTAGAATAAAGGATTGGGGGTTGTCATAGGAAATATTAATAGGAATGTTATGGGTTTGTTAAAGGGAAAAGTGGTTTGCAGAAAGATATACCTATAGAAAAATACTTTTATAGAATTCTTGAAGATTTTAAAGCTTTTCTTATCAGCATAACTGGATTTTAGATTTGATTCTTTGGTTTATTGAAATCTTAAAGCTGTAGTTTGTAGTGGGGAGGTATAGGAGTAGCACTGAAAATGTAGGTATAAAGTTTCAACTGATATTATATGTGTGTCACTTTCATGTCCTGTCATTGCAGTATGGTTGACTTTTTAGGACCTCTTCCTGAGTCTGGGGGAGAAACCAGTACATATTGAAGGAACACTTTAGAAACCATTGTGGTTAAGACTTAAATTGTGTTATGTATCACTGATATATTTTGTAGGTATGTTTGAATTTTTCAGACAATTTCAGAAACTTGGTTTCCCATTTTTAAGGAAGGCAGCACAATTCTGATGTCAGATTTGGGAGTTCCTGGTATGCTATTTTCTAGCCTTTTGTAAATTCTTTTTATCATCTTTAAGCTTAACTTCATGGAGTTGTTAGGAGTAAATGATATATAGTATGTCTAGCGGTTGATCAGCACAATGCTTTGATATATGATAAGCACTCCAAAACTGTCAGTCTTGGGAAGCCTGGGTGGCTCAGTTGGTTAAGCGTCTGCCTTTGGCTCAGGTCATGATCCTGGAGTCCCAGGATCGAGTCCCGCCTTGGGCGCCCTGTTCAGCGGGGAGTCTGCTTCTCCCTCTGACCCACCTCCCTCTCATGTTCTTTCTCTCACTCTCATTCTCTCTCAAATAAATAAAATCTTTAAAAAAAAACAAAAACCTGTCAGTCTTTTAGACTAGCCAGACTCAATAGCATGCAAGGGAGCCCTATAGACTGTTACCCTGGAGATGTTTGTTTCAGTAATATGAAACCAAATGACTGCTCTGGAAATATAATTAGTCACAAGGTATTCTGATACGATGAATATAGTTCAGGTGAGAGCTGGCAGATTTTTGGAGGTGAGGTGCCAAACTTCAGTCATTAACCATCTTCCCATCTCACCCTGTGTTTAGAAGCTTCTGTGGTATGAAATATTGGCAGAGGTGCCTTTGGAGATACTGCTGGTTGATGCTTGGCCGGGCTTAGGTTTCTCTTATTTAATGAGACCTAAGGATGGTTCTTGATTCTTTCCCGTCTATATTTAACACATCCAGTTGGTCACTTAAGTGCTGCTGATTGATTCCCTCAATATGTATCTTATAATATCATTTTGCCTGTCACTGCTGCAAGTCAGGTGTTCATTATTTCTCATTATAAATAACTATAAAAGCTCCCTAACTGGTCTTCCTGCTTCCTAACTAGTTCAGATTCTAGTCTGCCCCTCATACCAAAGGGAGCTTTCTAAAATGCAAATTTGGTTATGTAAGCAGAGTTAAGAGTCTGTTATTGTGGAATCAGAACTTCTGGGTTCAAATCCCATCTCTGTCTTGTGTGATCTTGGGTGAATTCTCCATGCCTTGGTTTCTACATTTATTAAAAAGGATAACTACTCAAATTGGGCCCAAAGTCACTTGGAAAGATTGCTAAAAATACGCTGTCTAGCTCCACCCCTGTTACTGGGTCCCTTGATCTTGGGTTGGGTCATGAAACCCATAACTTAACGAAAAACACCTCAGTTGGTTCAGATACCCTTTTATGGGTTTTCTTTAGACACCATGTACTTTGTCTTTAGGTTTTTGTACTTCTTGTGTCTGATATGATATGCACACCTGCTTTGTCCAGCCCCTTCAGCACTTGGTTCCAGGCTTGTCTTCTGCCAGGAAGTGTCTGACTTTATGATTATGCATTTCATGCTTCAGGAAGTCCTCTCCAGGGCGCCTGGGTGGCTCAGTTGGTTAAGCGACTGCCTTCGGCTCAGGTCATGATCCCAGGGTCCTGGGATCGAGTCCCACATCGGGCTCCCTGCTCAGTGGGGAGCCTGCTTCTCCCTCTGACCCTCTCCTCTCTCATGCTGTTTCTCTCTCGTTCGCTTTCTAATAAATAAGTAAATAAAATCTTTAAAAAAAAGAAAAAAGGAAGTCCTCTCCAATGCAGCAGTTCAGTGTTACATAATCTTTCTCAAATACACTGTCTAAAATATAGGACAAAAGGGAATTATTTCAGTTCTGGACAACTATTATAAAAGCATAAATTCCTTCACTTCTTGGCATTTGGCATTTTGCAACTCCTGGTTTATTGATTTGCTGTCTCTTCTAAGACCCTTGAGAATAAATTTTATATCCTCAGTGTCTTGTTAATCTTAAAATTATATTTATCATAGAGCTAAAGTTATTCTCAAGAAATTTTCTTTACTGAAATGAAGCATCTTTATGACGAGGTGTGCAAAGTGGGGGGTCATGTTGCATGAAGTCTTTGTTTTCTTTTTTCTTTTTTTAAGGTTTTATTTATTTGTCAGAGAGAGAGAGAGGGAGAGCACACAAGAAGAGGGAACGGCAGGCAGAGGGAGAAGCAGGCTCCCTGGTAAGCAAGGAGCCCAATGCAGGACTCGATCCCAGGACCTCAGACGCTTAACCAACTGTGCCACCCAGGCGTCTCGAAGTTTTTGTTTCTTACTGTATCATTTATTTGGATTCATCTACCTTTCATATTTGTACATCTCAGACTGACTTCCTTGGTTTTCTGTAGTTTTTAACTGGAGCATAGTTTGGTTTATTCCAATATTTGTAGGTGAGGACATTGTGGGATAGAACCAGAAATGAAACCAAGAATGTAAAAGATTATGAGCAGATTTGATTCTGGGTTTTGGATGTTTTATGTGTTTTATTTAGTAAATCATTCCTAATTCATTTAGATTTGGATGTTTTGCCCAAGGCATTCAAACTTTGTGCATCTTAGTTTTCCTGTTGGCAAAATGAGATAATAGACTAGGTGGACTCTAAAGTTCCTTCCAGCTCTAAAATTTCTACTATTCCAAGTAATAATGAATAGCTGTTCAAATATTTAGGTGTTGCTATTAATAATAAAGTTATAAGACTTGTTTTATCTTTTAAGCTCTCTCCATTTTATAAATCATTTGTTTCAGGCACACATCAAAAAACTTTGGTATCAACAAAAGTTAATTTCCTTCTCTTGTTACCTAGATTTTCCTGGAGCTGTTCATTATAGTTCTTTCTGATACGAGTGTAACTTTATTGAAACAGATGCAGGGAGGCTGATAAGTAGATATAACTCAAGTATTGTCATGAAAGAACTTGCCAAATGATTTTTCTCAGTGGGCTGCTAATAAATGAGAAAAGTCAAAATGTTAAAAAAAAAACTTCTTTGTTAATGTGGTAGATTATTTTGCTCTCGAGTAACATTTAGGTCTTCTTTGTTTTCATTTAAGTGCCAAGGATGACATTGATCTCGATGCCTTGGCTGCAGAAATAGAAGGAGCTGGTGCTGCCAAAGAACAGGAACCTCAAAAGTCAAAGGGGAAAAAGAAAAAGGATAAAAGAAAGCCAGACTTTGAGTAAGTATATTTCAAATATATTTGATTTTTATTAGCTTTGGTACTAGATTGACTTATTAAGCTAATTCAGTGCCTCAGAATATATTTTAATCCTTTTCTAGTGAAGACGATATCCTGAAAGAACTGGAAGAATTGTCTTGGGAAGCTCAAGGCATCAAAGCTGACAGAGAAAGTGCTGCAGTAAAGGTGAAAAACAGACCATTGTTACCTGTTCTGTGTCCTAGTGCCAGTTTTGGGGAGCTGCTTTTGGAAGCTTTTGAGCAGTGTGAATATGTTATTTAAAAATTTCTATAAATTCTGATGCCAAAGAGGGAAAACAATTTTTAGGAAATGTGTTTTAAGACTTTCACAGATATAAAAACATTTATTTGGGAATTTAAACGTATTTTGTGATAATGTTGCCTATTCATAAAATTAGTACATTTGGAGGTAGAACATTTCCCATCTTCGGTGTTCTGTGTTCTTTCTTTTTCATTCTTTGAATTTGAATAGCCTCAAAGTAATGGGAAAGTGATAGGCATATGTTTTTTTCTTTCCTTTTCCTCATAGGCTCTGTATGCCATTTGAGAAGGTAGTGAATGTGAACTGATGATTAGTACTTGCTTCAGAGCACCTGGGTTCTGACATTTCCAGTGAATGTGAAATGTGCCTGAGGCCTAGGCTAGCTTCTGGTACTTGGTCGAGTTTTATATTTGTAAAAATGGACCTTATTTTGAAGTTATTTTGAGAATTTTTTCTATGTGTACTTAGTAAAATACATGATTGAGGACTCTTATTTTAAAAAATAAAATGTAACTATTAAAATCTTTAACAATGGAAATTTTTTAGCCAACAGAAAATAATGAAGAAGAATCCACCTCAAAACAAGATAAAAAAAAGAAAGGACAGAAAGGCAAAAAACAAAGTTTTGATGATAATGATAGTGAAGAATGGGAAGATAAAGATTCAAAATCAAAAAAGACTGCAAAGCCAAAAGTGGAAATGTACTCTGGGAGTGATGATGATGATGATGATTTTAATAAACTTTCTAAAAAAGCTAAAGGGAAAGTTCAGAAATCAAATAAAAAGGGGGATGGATCAGAAGAAGATGAGGATAACAGTAAAAGAGTTAAAGAGCGTTCCAGAGTAAATTCTTCAGGTGAAAGTGGTGATGAATCAGATGAATTTTTGCAGTCTAGAAAAGGACAGAAAAAAAATCAAAAAAATAAGCCAGGTCCTAATGTGGAGAGTGGGAATGAAGACGACGACTCCTCCTTCAAAATTAAGACAGTGGCCCAAAAGAAGGCAGAAAAGAAAGAACGTGAAAGAAAAAAGCGAGATGAAGAAAAAGCAAAACTGCGGAAGCTGAAAGAAAAAGAAGAGCTAGAGACTGGGAAAAAGGATCAGAGTAAACAGTCTCAAAAGAAATCTGAAGAAGAAGCTGTAAAATCCAAAGTGGCCCTTGATATTGGAGCAGTCCCTGCCTCTGAAGAGAAAGGAGAGACTCCCACAGCTGCTGAAGGTTGGTAACATTATCAAGGAAAGGGCTGAAGGTTTGGTTTGATAGTCCTAAGTTTTGCCCCAAAGTCATACTGGTTTTTGCCCTTGCTTATACAAGGACTTAAATTTTGAAGGACTTGTAAAAATTATATCTAAATACTTTTGATTTTCACTGTTAAACATTTATATGTAGTATAAAATATCTTTAAAATGATTTGTGTACAGACTAGGATTTTTAAAGAATTTCACTGTGAAAGAAAACAGTTTTGGTGCTGATAAAGACTGCAAGTTGCCTAAATGATAAATTTATTCTTTTTGATATCTTAGTGTCAGATAATAACAATTCTTCCCTGTTTTAAAATTTTTTTATTTTTATAAATACTTTCCTGTTGTTTTTTATTTTTTAAGGTTTTTAAAAATTTATTTATTTGACAGAGAGAGAGAGACAGCAAGAGAGGGAACACAAGCAGGGGGAGTGGAGAGGGAGAAGCAGGCTTCCCGTGGAGCAGGGAGCCCGATGCGGGGCTCGATCCTGGGACCCTGGGATCATGACCTGAGCCAAAGGCAGATGTTTAACAACTGAGCCACCCAGGTGCCCCAACTTTCTTGTTTTTAAAAACCCAATCCAATCTATGAAATAGAAAAGTAAAAACATGCTAAAATAAGTTAACATCTTTTAAGCAACAGTAAGCCAAGTTTTTATGCCAGAACCAATTAACAAAAAGTAAGTTTTCTAACTAAAATTCTCCTCCTTCAGGAGAATAAAGATCAAATGATTCACATAGGTTTTTTTTAGACTAGAAAGCTTTCAATGGAAAAATTGACCTATCTTTTTTAACCAAATTTTTATTATCTGGACATCTTTGAGGAGTAACACCACAAAAGTAGTTTCATAAACTTTAATGCTGTTGACCTCTTGGAATATAATTATCTATGTTTTTTATTTTGTCCTCCTAATATCCCTATAAGGTAGGCATCATTCCTATCATCCCCATCTTATAGAGGCAGAACTAGCTACAGAATTTAGGCAGGAATTCAGACACCATGGATTAAGAGATACATTAGATACAGTATATCTTCTTCCTGCTGTCAGGATCCTCCTCTCTTCTTGGATCCCTCAGGACAATTTAGAGCAACACCAGTATTGTAGGCTTCTAAGGAGGCAGCTGGACGGTTTTGAGCTATTCTGGCTACCCTCTTGATAGGGCTAGAGACCTACCTTGCTGCTGGCATCAGCCTTGGCCCAATATGGTCCTTGAATTCTGGGGTTTGCTTATCACTGCTTTAGGAAACAACTTTCTTTTTTTTTTTTTTTTTTTAAGATTTTATTTCTTTATTTGAGACAGAGAGAATGAGAGACAGAGAGCATGAGAAGGAGGAGGGTCAGAGGGAGAAGCAGACTCCCTGCCGAGCAGGGAGCCCGATGCGGGACTCGATCCTGGGACTCCAGGATCATGACCTGAGCTGAAGGCAGTCGCTTAACTGACTGAGCCACCCAGGCGCCCAGGAAACAACTTTCTATTTTATTTTATTTTATTTTTTAAAGATTTTTATTTATTTATTCATGAGAGGTAGAGGGAGAAGTAGGCTCCCCGCTGAGCAGGGAGCCCGATGCGGGACTCAATCACAGGACCCTGGGATCATGACCCGAGTCGAAGGCAGACGCTTAACCATCTGAGCCACCCAGTCTCCCGGAAACAACTTTTTAATTTTTTATTTTATTTATTTATTTATTTATTTATTTATTTGAGAGAGAGAGAATGAGAGACAGAGAGCACGAGAGGGAGGAGGGTCAGAGGGAGAAGCAGACTCCCTGCCGAGCAGGGAGCCCGATGTGGGACCGGAAACAACTTTTTTAAAAAACACTTTGCCTTTGTTCTTTTTTGGTAGATGACAATGAAGGAGACAAAAAGAAAAAAGATAAGAAGAAAAAGAAAGAGAAGGAAGAAAAAGAGAAAGAGAAGAAAAAAGGACCTAGCAAAGCCACAGTAAAGGCTATGCAAGAAGCTCTGGCTAAGCTTAAAGAAGAAGAAGAACGACAGAAGAGAGAAGAGGAGGAACGCATAAAGCGGCTTGAAGAGTTAGAAGCTAAGCGTAAAGAGGAGGTATGTATTCATGAAATTGTGTTTAACTTAAAAGTCTCTGCTCTGTAAATTATCTTTAACCTTCTAATTCTAAAAGTGTCATAGTTGTATGGTAATTCAGTTACTATTTTGATATAGACAAGATGAAGCAATACAGAAAATCCTACCTTTATTTTTTCAGATGCAGAAATTGGTTATGTATCCTTGCCAGTACTTAGTCTACTTTCATGTGACATTAATTAATACTTATTTTGTATAGCCATTAAAATATTTTCATTTGGATATTCCTAATGTAATACTTTGCATGTATCTCAAGAGCTTTACATTTGAGTTTGGGTTCTTTAGATTTAAATTTTATAATTATGCCAATACAATTTTTGTCTTATTTATGTACTCTTATGCAGGAAAGACTAGAACAAGAAAAGAGAGAAAGGAAAAAGCAAAAAGAGAAAGAAAGAAAAGAACGCTTAAAAAAAGAAGGGAAACTTTTAACTAAATCCCAGAGAGAAGCCAGAGCCAGAGCTGAAGCTACCCTTAAACTTCTACAAGCTCAGGGTAAGTAGTATTTTTAATTGACTGAACAGTCTAGAAGCTTCTGTCATACAGTTACAGGTCTGTAATGGTCAAAAGGAGAATTGAATTAGGCAGAAAATTCCTATGAAAATGCTGTGGGAAAAGTCAAATAATAATGTAAGGAATAGGGATACCTGGCTGGCTCAGATGGAAGAACATGCAGCTCCGTCTCAGGGTCATGAGTTACAAGCCCCATACTAGGTGTACAGCTTACTTAAAAAAAAAAAAAAAAAAAGTAAAGAATAGGTAAAATAATTACATTATTCTGGGACATGACTTCTATAAAGTGTATTCTAAACACCATATTATTTTACTTGATTTTGCTTTAGTATGTATCTCTAACAAGTAAGGATTTTTTTTTTTTTTAAGATTTTATTTATTTATTTGAGAGCGAGAGAATGAGAGAGAGCACATGAGAGGGGGGAGAGTCAGAGGAAGAAGCAGACTCCCTGCTGAGCAGGGAGCCCGATGCGGGACTCGATCCAGGGACTCCAGGATCATGACCTGAGCCGAAGGCAGTCACTTAACCAACTGAGCCACCCAGGCGCCCATGATTTTTTTTAATGTTAAAAGAGTTTGTATTTATTACATAAAACAAAATTAATTCCTTGACAGCATCTGGTTTTCTGTGTTTAATTTTTCCCCTTATCTCCAAAATGTTCTTAATAGTTGATTTGTTCAAATCAGGATCCAGATTAGATCCACACATTGCATTTGGTTGGTATGTCTGTCTCTCACTGATACCACTACCCATTCTTGTTTTTGGCATGCCCTTTGTCATAGATACTGGATTATTCTTTAGAATTTCTCATATTCTGGATTTATCTAATGGCATTTTCCTGGTGTTGGCTGATATACTTCTCTGTCCCTTATAATTTCTTAGATGTAGCAGCTTGGCTTCCTCCAAGTGTACTGTGTACTTCCTATTGCCTTATATTAGGAGGCATGTGATCTGGATATCTCACTTCTAGTGATGTCAGTATTGATCATTGGGTTTAGGTATTGGCAACTTTGTCCATTATATAAGTACTCCACTGACTTTTCCTAATAATAATTTAATATTCAGCCTAATAATACCAGCTGGTGATCATTGCAGAGTTGTGATATTCTGTCATTTCTTTTGTACTTATTAGCTACAATCTTTAAAGAAAAGCTTTCCCTGAAATGTAGTTCATGCAGGAAAGCCAGGATAAATGCTTAATTCTTAACCTTTATTAATTTTCAGAATAATAAATTAGTGTCTTAGCAACTTCAAAGGTGATCAATGAGTATAATTTTGATTTTTGGATGTATATCATTTTCTTTTAATGGGGTTTTATATAATTGATATGGTTTATCTCATGAAGTCATTCATGTTTTTTATATTCAAATTGTCCCATCTTTGACCAATAGGAGCGCATTCACGTTGGTCCCTGTGAGTTTTTCTACATGACTACAGTATTCTTAGACCCCATCCTTGCTTTCTAACACAACAAGTTATCTAAGGTTTATCTTGCACATTTTCTGTCTTAGATCTGGAATCACCTGTTTATCCAAGGAGCCTCGGTTCCTTTTAGTCTAGAGACCACAATCTGGACATATAATTGATTATTTTTTGACATATAAAATGATTTAAAATAGTGTCTCTGCTCCACTGAGAAGGATATATTAGGTCTCAATTTCCTGTTCTTATATTTCACAGATTTTTATATGACAGTAATTTTGGTGCTTATGCTATAATTACAGTAATAGGTACCATTTATTGTGTGTGTATTATGTAACTGATGCTGTCATAAACCTTTGACATTGTCTGTTTTCTCATAAAAATCTTATAGGTATTTTCATTCCCATCATTTAGGTGAAGAAATAGAGACTCCGAGTTTTAACAGCTTGCCCAAGGTCATGGAGCTGAGATTTAAACTGATCTGTATGACCACCTCTTAATTATGCATTATATGTTCAGCTGGGAGCAGTAAATACAGAGAAACACTGTACTTAGATTTCAGAAAGTTTTATTCGTAATTGGGGATACAGTTTTTTAGATGAAATTAGAGAACAAATATGAGTGCAACTAGCACCCAGATATCAGATTTGACAGGTAACTATCTGGAATGCTAAAAGCAGTCATGACGAAATTTGGATAGAGTAATTTGCCAATCTTAGTAATGTTTTATGGAGTAGTTTGACTTGTACTTACAAGATTAGATGAACATTTTTTTTTTTTTAAAGATTTTATTTCAGAGAGAGTGCAAGCATGAGCAGAGGGAGGGGCAGAGGGAGAAGTAGGCACCCCATGGAGCAGGGTGCCTGATGCCAGGCTCCATCCCAGGACCCTGGTATCATGACGTGAGTCGAAGGCAGACATTTAATCGACTGAGCTACCTAGGCACCCCTAAACTATACTGCTTACTAACCCATGAGTCCAGGAGGAAGTCTTACTGAAAATTAGAAAGTATCTTGAATTCGAAAAAAAACAAAAAGGAAAATACAACATATCAAAGTTTGTGGGTTGCAGCTAAAGCAATGCTTAGAGGAGAATTTGTAGTATTAAATGCTTGCTTCAGGAAAAAAAGGTCAAATCAATAGTCTAAGCTTCCCATCTTAAACTAAAAAATAGAAGAGCAAAGTAAGCAGAAAGAAAAAAGTGCAGAAAACAATGCAATATAAAACAAGACTAATAGGGAATCATTGAAGCCAGAAGTTAGTACTTTGAAAATATCAATAAAATTGATAAACTTCTAGACCGACTAAGGAAGAAAAGAGACAAGACACAAATTACTGATACCAGGAGGAAAGCATGGGGAAGGATATCATCATTACAGTTCTACAGGTATTAAAATGATAAGGCAATATTGTGAACGGCTCTATGCTAATAGATTCAAAAGCTTGATAAAATAGGGCTATTCCTTAAAAGACATAAACTATCAAAACTCATAGATTACTCTGGGAATGAAGGCTAGTTCAGTTTTGAAAATGAGTAAATGTATTTAAAGAAAAACTACATGATCATCTTACAGATGAAGAAAAATCATTTGACAGAATTCATCCATGTATGATAGAAATTCATAAACTGGAAATAGAAAAGTTCCTTATTTTGCTAAAAGAGATCTACAAAAAAATATTCAACCATTGCACTTAATGATGAATTATAGATGCTAAATCTTAATATTATAATTAAGACAAGGATGTCCATTCTTACCACAATCATTCCATGTTGTACTGGAACATCCTAGCATGGGTAATTAGGAAAAAAAAAGTAAAAGGCATACAGATTGGAAAAAGTAAAACTCTATTCACAGATGATAGCTGCCTACGTAGAAAATATCATGGCATCTAGAACTGAAAAAAAAAAACACACACACAAAACCCTACAGCTAATAAGTGAGATTAACAAGGTTCTAGATAGGACCAGTATGCAAATACCAATTGTATGTCTGTATGCTAGTAATTAAGAGCTGAAAATCAAAACAGTATTATTTGTAGTAGCACCCCCCCAAATAAACTGGATTTCTTCATTATAATTCTAATATTTGTGGGATCTGTATTCTGAAAACTATAAAAACATGAAAATAATCAAAGACCTTTGTAAATGGAAAAATGTTGCATTCACTTGATACTGTTGAGATTATCAGTTCTCCAAAATGACCTCTAGATTCAGTGCAATTCCAGTCAAACTTGCAGCAGGATATTTTGTGAGTATCTATAAGCTATTTCTAAAATGTGTATGAAAGGGTGAAGGAGTTAGAATGGCCAAAATATTTTTGGAAATAACATACTTGGAGGACTCAAAATACCTGATTTCAAGACTTACTATAAAGCCATGGTAATCAGTAGTGTGATAATGGCAAAAGCAGGAATAAAGACAAACAGATCAATAGAATCGTCTGTATATGGTCAGTTTTGGGGAAGAGGCAGTTTAATAAGTAAAATACAGTGTTGACGACAACTGATGTTGGAACAGTTGAGTATCTAGATGCAAAAACAAAAACCCAGAATACCCAAAAGCCTACTCTTAAATCTCACGCATTACATAAAAATTCACTCAAAAAGATCATAAATCTAAATCTACAATGTACAACTACAAAACTTTAGGGGAAAAATAGTAGAAAATCTTTGTGACCTTGTGTTAGTGCTTAGTTTAACTTAAAAAAGCATAATTCATAAAAGGAACGTATTTGGGAAGTCCAGTTAAAAACTTGCTCTGCAGAAGACACCACTGAGAGAATTCAAAGACAATACCTGAAAATCACATATCTGACAAGGATTAATACACACAGTATGTGAAGATAACTTAGTATTCAACAATAAGGAGAGCAACAGCCCTATTTAAAAATGGGCAAAAGATTTGAACAGAACTATAAGCAATGAAAAGAATGTTTAACATTAGTCATTAGGGAAATTCAAATTAAGACCACGGTGATATATTGCTACATGTTTATTGAAATACATAAATTTTCATAACTTGTCTTTTTCTGGCAAGTATGCAGGACAGTTGGAACTCACCTACTTTACTGGTTGAAATGCAAAACTGTAAAGTCAGTTTGGAAAACAGTTGGCAGTTTCTTACAAAATTAAATATGTATTTATCTAATGTCCCATTATTCCCACTCAAAATATTTACCCCAGAGAAATGTTCACACAGAAAACTGAATACGTATGTTCGTAGAAGCTTTATTCATAATTGTCAAAACCTGGAAAAAAAGTCAAATGTCCTTCAGTTGTCTACAGAATAATGGAACTGTAATATATCCATACAGTGGAATGCAATAGAAAGAAATGAAGTATTAGTACATATAACAATGAGGATGACTCTAAAATCCATTATGATGACAACAGCCCAGACTATAAGTTTCATTTCTGTGATATTTTGGAAAAAACAAATCTTTTGGGATAGAGAACAGATCAGTGGTTGCCAAGGGCTAAGGATGTAAGTACGGTTTGATTACATAGAACAGCACAGGGTGTTGGAATTGTTCTGCATCTTCATTGTGTTTAATAACTACACATTTTTCAAAAGTGCCAGAACTGTACACCAAGAAAGTAGTATTTTAGTTTATGTAAATTTTAAAACTCCTTCTATAGAAAAGAGATTTTTCCATGAATGTATGTATCTCTGAGGTGAATAAAATGTTATCTTTTTTTTTTTTTAAGATTTATTATTTGTCAGAGAACAGAGCACAAGCGGGGGAGTGGGAGGCAGAGGGAGAAGCAGGCTCCCTATTGAGCAAGGAGCCTGATGTGGGACTCGATTCCAGGACCTTGGGATCATGACCTAAGCCGAAGGCAGATGCTTAACTAACTGACTGAGCCACCTAGGCTTCCCTAAAATGTTATCTTTTTAAGTAGCATTTCTTAGATGATACACAAATAGAATAAATCTAAAGTTTTTCATTTTTATCCCTTAGGTGTTGAAGTGCCATCAAAAGACTCTTTGCCAAAGAAAAGGCCAATTTATGAAGATAAAAAGAAGAAAAAAACATTACAGCAGCTAGAAAATAAAGAAGGTTTGTATACAAAGGGACCTGTGATTTAAAAACAATTTTGTTTGCCTTTCCCTACAACCTTCGAAACAGTATCTTTTAAAGAGAAACCACAAATCAGAATTATATATTGAAACTTATTTCCTATACCTTGTTTCTTATTATTGTTAATCATTCTCAACTGATTTAAATGACAGGTTAATGGAACAGTGCTTTTGTTTGAAAAATCTAGATCTTCCCCAAACCAACTATTCTTAACTATCATTCTTACTTTTCTTTTCCTTCTCAACCTTTTGTAATTTCACATTGTTCCTTGAGCAGACTGTTTCCTGTAAAATATTTGACTGATATCTAAACATTTTCTAAACTAAAAGAATTTAGGTTTGTACTACTGGTTTTTATTCAGTACTTGACAGAGTATCCCAACAGAAATTTTGCACTGAAAAAGTATTATTAACTTGGTTTCTGCCCCTTTTTCAGTATCTGAACCAATAGAATTATGTGCTGCTGTAGAAGTTGTAGAGCAAGGAGTTCCAGAAAAGGAAGAGACACCACCTCCTGCTGAACCAGGCCAGTAGCACTGACTAATTGCTTACTATTAAATAGCACTGATGTGTCAGAAATTGTCTTAGTCATCATGTATTTGGGGAAAGCAAATATCTGGCAGGATGGTATTCTTCATACTTTTCTCTAAACCATTTCTTTCCATTTCCATTTTGAAAAAGTTTAGGGGCGCCTGGGAGGCTCATTCCTCCCAGGTTGAGTATCTGACTCTTGGTCATGGCTCAGGTCTTGATCTCATGGTTGTGAGTTTGAGCTCCTGTGGGTTCGAACTCCAAGCTGGGCTCCACTTAAAAAAAAAAAAAAAAGTATAGGATTGAGATTTGAATCAGTTTTTAGTAGTGTCAGTAAAATGTAGACAGAATAGAAGTATTTTGGATTTTTTTCTGATGTTTTCATTTATGGGTCAGAAATCTTTGGTGGTGCCAAGAAGACCTGAAGTTCTTTATTTAATCCTTTGGAAGCAAATTGGAAGCATTTAATGACAACTTTTAAAGAATACTGTAAAAATTGGCATTTTTAAACCTCCTGAGAGGTCAGCTTCTATTTACTAAATCAGTAAGAGGATTCAGTTTATTCATTCTGTATGTGTATGTGTTTTGAGGTTGGAGAAAGTATTTGGCTTTTTTTTTTTTTAAAGATAAACATTGTTTTAATTCATTAGACTAGATATTGATAGGTGAGCCAGAGGCTAGCTAGCTACATGTATGGTTAACAAAATCAAGAGACTCTCTACTGTTTAAAGTTTGGAGTCAGAATAAATAGTAAAAGAGTATCAAGACTGACCCACACTGGTGAAAAATATTGATAGTTCCTTTCCTTCTTTCTCCCCTCCTGTTCTTAGTATCAAAGGATCATTTACCTGGCACAACTCAGCTTAGCATGATGACATTGGAGAAATACAGGTTGATATGCCTAATGGCAGTCCATTATTTTAGGTGACATTTATAGCAGTGGAAAGAATTGCTAATTTAGAAGGACATTTTCGGTACATGTACCTGATTCATTTCCTCTTCCTCAAGATGATCCAAACTTGTTGGCAAGTAATAATTATTACAGGGGAGCAAATACCACTTGTCCCACTTGGATTTGAGAATAGTTTTGCTTTATTGGATTTCAGTAAAAAGAATCAATGTTGAGAATATTAAGTCTTTAATATTCAAAATTATACCTTTCTGGATGTTTTTGGATTGTCAAGCAGATATTCTTTTCTTATTTTCAACTGGAGTAGAGGTGTAGCTTTGTACCTCCAACTATGATTTAAGTAGTATTTTTATGTAGCTGTAGAAGTTAAAGCAATAAAATAAGTAGTAAAATCTTAGGTATGACATGTAAGTTTGAAAGATCAAAATGAAGATACCATAAGTAATCCTTTCTTATTTGTGGGGCATATGTTTTGAGACCCCCAGTGGATGCTTGAAATTGCAGATAGTACTGAACTCTGTTTTCTGCTATACATACATAACTGTGATAGAGTTTAACTTATAAATTAGGCACAGTAAAAGATGAACAGCAATAAGTAATAATATGAACAATTAGAACAATATACTATAATAAGTTATGTGGGTGTAGTCTCTCTCTTTTAAAATATCTTATTGTACTATACTCATTCTTCTTCTTGTGATGATGTGAGATGTTAAATACCCATGTGACTAGATGAAGTGAGATGAATGATGTAGGTACTGTGATGTAATGTTAGACTACCATTGACCTTCTGACCATATGTTAGAAGAAGGAAAGGAGGATCATTTGCTTCCAGACCGCAGTTCACCGTGGGTTACAAAATGCAGAAAGCAAGATCATAGCTAAGGTTGGGGGACTATTGTGAAATTTCATTTTTCCTCAAGAACTGAGTGCAATCATCTACCCTTTTCAGAATCTAACAGAACATTTCAGTGTCTGAGTTTCTAAAACTTTAATTATGTCAAATATGAAATCTGGTTTAAGTTTAATTTGGTGTATTCAAAATGCTAGGAAATTATGCAGCATTTGGTAATACTAAATTATAACATGTAGCTATACTGAGAAAATAGTTCCAAAGATGACGAAATTGTATGTTTTTGCATAATTAAAGTATTTTTAGTGTCAGCATAATTTTCTACTTTTTTCTAAAAGCAAGCTCCTATTTCTAGATGATTTCTATGTCTTTAACAAAAACATTTATTTACAGAGGAGGAAGAAGAAACTGAAGATGCTGGATTGGATGATTGGGAAGCTATGGCCAGTGATGAAGAGAGAGAAAAAGGTGAATAGCTCATAAGTATGCATTGATAAATCTAATGGTTATTAGAGGTGTGTGTATTTAAAGGAATAGTCAGTCTTCTGATTATGAAAGCCATATGAACATTTCTGGGAATAAAAACCAGTTTCAGATCTCTCCATTGCCATGGTTCCTGATTATGTGGATCCTCATTTTATGAATAAATGGTTTTTCAGGGGCTCCTAGGATTTAAAATACATTTTTTCAGAGTGATGTTTTAAATGGGGTTAGGCTATTAAAGCTAGCCTACAAAAACACTTTAACTTGAAATATAATACAAAGGTGATACAAGTGAATAGTACCTAATCAATATGCATAAATAATTTTTCTTTGTTATTACTTTCTGTCCTCTATTACTAAAATCTACTTTCTTTGGTTTTAGTTTGCTGGGGGTTTTTCCTAACTTCTTGAGATGGATATTTGGTTTTTTGGTTTTTCAGGGTTTTTTCCCTAATACTTTTTTTTTTTTTTTTAAGTTTTAATTTTAATTCTAGTTAGTTAACATGCATTGTTGTATTACTTTCAGGTGTATGATAGTGATTCAGCAATTCCATATATAACATGGTGCTTATCAGGACAAGTACACTCCTTAATTCCCATCACCTATTTAACCAATCCCCGCCCCCCCCGGCCCCACCCTGCCACAAACCTCTCTTCTCTGGTAACCATCAGTTTGTTCTCTTTAGTTAAAGAGGCTGTTTCTTAGTTTGTCTCTCTTTTTTTGCTCTTTGCTCATTTGTTTTGTTTCTTAAATTGCATATGAGTGAAATCATATATTTGTCTTTCTCTGACTGACACATTTCACTTAGCATTATACTCTCTAGCTCCATTCATGTCACTGCAAGTGACAAGATTTCATTCTTTTTCATGGCTGAATGATATTCCATTGTATATATATACCACATCTTCTCTATCCCTTCATCTGTCTGTGGGCACTTGAGCTGCTTCTATATTTTGGTTATTATAAACAATGCTGCCATAGACATAGGGGTACATGTAATCCTTTGAATTAGTGTTTTTGTATTTTTTGGATAAATACCTGGTAGTGTGATCACTGGATCACAAGATAGTTCTATTTTTAATTTTTTGAGGATACTCCATACTGTTTTACACAGTGGCTGCACCAGTTTGCATTCCCAGTAGCAGCACACGAGGATTCCTTTTTCTCCACATCCTCGCCAACATCTAATACGTGTTATTAAAACTAAATTTTTTGTTAAGCATTTCTTTACCTAAATTTCATAAGCTCTGATATTTTTAACTTCCATTTTAATATATTTTACCTGATAGAAGTGTAGTTCTTAATTTACAAAAGAGGGATTTTCTAATTATTTTCTTGTTACTTCATTGAGATCAGAAAATACACATGGTTCTATCTTTTGAAATTGTTGAGACTTAATTTACAACCCAGCACATGGTTGATTATTGTGTTTAATATATGATTGGAAGGAATTTATATTCTACAGTAGTTGTGTGCCTTGTTCTCTGTAGAGTTAACCCTTGAACAACATGGGTTTAAACTGCAGGAGTCTACTTACATGCAGATTTTTTTTGATACGATGCTGTAAATATATTTTCCTTAAGATTTTCTTCGTAACATTTTTATTTATCTGGTTTAGCTTATTAGAATACAGTATGTAATACACATACAAACTATGTGTCAGTCAGCTGTTTATGTTATTACCAAGGCTTATGGTCAATAGTAGGCTGTTAGTTAAATTTTTGAAGAGTCAAAAGTTATACATGGATTCCCAACTGCATGGGGGCATTGACATTCCTAATCCCCATGTTGTTCAAGGGTAAACTGTATTTGGTCAGATTTGCTCATCATTTTGTTCAAGTCTTTTTTAATCTGAGATTTTTTTTTTTGGACTGCCTTCTCTGTTACTGGGAGTAGTGAGATAAAATCTGCCATGATTGTGGATTGTCTATTTCTCCCTGTGCTCTGTTAGTTTTGTTTGATAAATTTTAGGTAAATACACTCATATTTTTTTGATGAATTTGACTCATTGATTTACTATTCTATTGTGTCTTATTTCTATTTTTTATTTCTGTTTTTGTGGTTTTTTTGTTTTAATTATTTCTCACAATGCTTTTTGCCTTAAAACATACTTTATCTGATGTTGATACAGTGACATAGCTTTGATTTATATGATCTTTTTCTATTCTTAACTTTATCTGTCTCCTTGATTAGCACATAGTTGAGATTTTTAAATCCAGTTTGTCAGTCAGTATTTTACCTAGACCACTTAGCCCATTACATTTAACCCTTTATGTAATTAGTGAAGAGTATTTGTTATCTTATTTAATCCTTACTGGTTCTGTTTCTTTTTTTGTCCTTTCTAACCATGCTTGGGATTGTTGTTTTATTTAAAATTTTATTTATTTATTTATTTGACAGAGAGCAGGAGAGAGAGCGAGAGAAAGCACAAGCAGGAGGAACAGCAGAGGGAGAGGGAGAAGCAGGCTTCCCATTGAGCAGGGAGCCCAATGCGGGGCTCAATCCCAGGACCCTGGGATCATGTCCTGAGCTGTAACTGGCTGAGCCACCCAGGCACCTCCCCCACCCCACCTTTTTTTTAAAATTCTGTATGTTCGTCCTTCCATGAGCTTGGAAGTTGTATACTTTCCCACTTACTTTTAGTCATTACTCTAGAGACTTTTAACATGGATCTTTATTACTGTCTAATAATACCCTCGTTCCAGACAATGCAAAGACCGTAGAATACATGAGCAAATTTATCCACTCCTCAGTTTGTTATTCCCATTTATTTTAATTCCTTTTTTAAGTTTTGGCTTAAGTTTACTCGTATTGTCAGCTCTTTGTTGTATTTCATTTCTTTTTGGATCTCTGATCTTCCATTTGAGATCATTTCTTCTTGCCTGAAGAATACCTTTTAGAATTTCCTTTAGTATGAACCTGTTAGTGAGGCATTCCATTTTTGCTTTTCTTTATTTTTATTATGTTAATCACCATACATTAGATCATTAGTTTTTGAGGTAGCGTCCCATGATTCATTGCTTGCGTATAACACCGAGTGCTCCATGCAGTACGTGCCCTCTTTAATAACCATCTCCAGGCTAACCCATCCCACAACCCTCTAGAACCCCCAGTTTGTTTCTCAGAGTCCATAGTCTCTCATGGTTCGTCTCCCCTCTGATTCCCCCCCTTCATTTTTCCCTTCCTGCTATCTTTTTTTTTTTTTTTTTTAACTTATGTATTATTTGTTTCAGAGGAACAGGTCTGTGATTCATCCGTCTTACATAATTCACAGCACTCACCATAGCACATACCCTCCCCAGTGTCTGTCACCCAGCCACCCCATCCCTCCCACCTCCCACCACTCCAGCAACCCTCAGTTTGTTTCCTGAGATTAAGAATTGCTCATACCAGTGAGGTCTTATGACACATGTCTTTCTCTGATTGACTTATTTCGCTCAGCATAATACCCTCCAGTTCCATCCACGTCATTGCAAATGGCAAGATTTCATTCCTTTTGATGGCTGCATAATATTCCATTGTATATATATACCACCTCTTCTTTATCCACTCATCTGTCAGTGGACATCTTGGCTCTTTCCACAGTTTGGCTATTGTAGACATTGCTGCTATAAACACTGGGGTGCACGTACCCCTTCAGATCCCTACAGTTGTATCTTTGGGGTAAATACCCAGTAGTGCAATTGCTGGGTCATTGGGTAGCTCTATTTTCAACTTTTTGATTAACCTCCATACTGTTTTCCAGAGTGGTTGCACCAGCTTGCATTCCCACCAACAGTGTAGGAGGGTTCTCCTTTCTCTGCATCCTTGCCAACATCTGTCGTTTCCTGACTTGTTAATTTTAGCCATTCTGACTGGTGTGAGGTGGTATCTCACTGAGGTTTTGATTTGGATTTCCCTATTGCCGAGCGATCTTGAGCACTTTTTCATGTGTCTGTTGGCCATTTGGATGTCTTCTTTGCAGAAATGTCTGTTCATGTCTTCTGCCCATTTCTTGATCGGATTCTTTGTTCTTTGGGTGTTGAGTTTGAAAAGTTCTTTATAGATTTTGGATACTGGCCCTTTATCTGATATGTCATTTGCAAATACCTTCTCCCATTCTGTTGGTTGTCTTTTGGTTTTATTGACTGTTTCCTTTGCTGTGCAAAAGCTTTTTATCTTGATGAAGTCCCAATAGTTCATTTTGCCCTTGCTTCCCTTGCCTTTGGCGATGTGTCTAGGAAGAAGTTGCTGCGGCTGAGGTCAAAGAGGTTGCTGCCTGTGTTATCTTCTAGGATTTTGACGGACTCCTGTCTCACATTGAGGTCTTTCAACCATTTGGAGTCTATTTTTGTGTGTAGTGTAAGGAAATGGTCCAGTTTCATTCTTCTGGATGTGGCTGTCTAGTTTTCCCAACACCATTTGTTGAAGGGACTGTCTTTTTTCCATTGGACATTCTTTCCTGCTTTGTCGAAGATTAGTTGACTATAGAAATGAGGTTCCATTTCTGGGCTCTCTATTCTTTTCCATTGATCTCTGTGTCTGTTTTTGTGCCAGTACCACACTGCCTTGATGATGACAGCTTTGTAGTAGAGGTTGAAGTCCAGAATTGTGATGCCACCAGCTTTGCTTTTCTTTTTCAACATACCTCTGGCTATTCGGGGTCTTTTCTGGTTCCATACAAATTTTAGGATTATTTCTTCCATTTCTTTCAAAAAAGTGGATAGTATTTTGATGGGGATTGCATTGAATGTGTAGGTTGCTCTAGGTAGCATTGACATTTTCACAATATTTGTTCTTCCAATCCGTGAGTGTGGAATGTTTTTCCATTTCTTTGTGTCTTCCTCCATTTCTTTCAAGAGTATTTTATAGTTTTCTGAGTACAGATTCTTTGCCTCTGGTTAGATTTATTCCTAGGTATCTTATGGTTTTGGGTGCAGTTGTAAATGGGATCAACTCCTTAATTTCTCTTTCTTCTGTCTTGTTGGTGTATAGGAATGCCACT